TAAAACATTAACTTAAACTTTGAAAGCATTATGTTCTAGTTAATAATGTTATGTAGAGAAATGAGGCAGTAACAGACTAGTACTTAAACCAGTATAAATATACTCAAAATCTGAATGGTCTATTGGAAATGAAGCGGGTATGGGTGGGGTTCCATAGCTTTCACAGTGACTGTGCTTTCCCCAGATAAAAGTCATAATTTATTGCCTTTCTAATCACATCAACTTTGAGCTCCAAATGATCATAAACTACTTTAGCTAAATGGATTCTTCAAACAAAACAAAAACGATGTTGGCTTGGGATATTCTCTTGACATCATTTTATGTTCTTAGTTACATTTGTCTATAGTTCTAGACAGGTGGGTACCTGCAAATTTAAGCCTGTGTTCTGCTTTTGCAAGTTTCATCCCTGCTTTCCTAAAGCCAGATGTGGCCTACAGTATCACAAATGGAAAACAAATTAATGAAACCTATTGCTTCTCTAGTTCTTCATAAGTTGATATGTGACTCCATATGTTTTTAATGCCATTAAAATATAACAAGTGGTTTTTTTTGTTAAATTTGAAATGTGGCTTAGCAGTAATAAAATACTATCAAAAAATCCATTCTGTCACTGAAACACAGAAATGGCATCCTGATTATTTAGATGGAAACTTTAGTGTTGTACACCTCTGTTTCACCACAACGATGGATTGATTTTTGACTCATTTTATTTCCTTCTCACAGATACAAAGGCCAGTTATTCTAAGGATTCAAGGTGTTAAGAAGCAGAGAGCAGATAGCTACCTGATAGCTCCCAGGTTAAAAAAAAAGCCCTTCCTTTACCCCAACTTTAAAGAGGAAAAAAAACAATCACAAAAAACCCCAAGTGCACAGTCTAATTTTGGTATGTTAAAAAAATGAGAGAGAGAAACTTAAAATCCAGCTATGTTCTCTGAAATGTAGCCCTCTTTCAATTTGTAGAGATCTCTTCAAACTGAGAAACTTGGAAGTGACAAGAGGTTGTATTTGACTTCTTCTAATTCTGTCAATTGACCCAAAATATTTTTTTTTCTCTGATGTTTAGTTTGCTGGTTTCTGTAATGTGTAAAGGAAGTGAGAAAAAACCACAAGAAAGGAAATGCCCAGCAAACTGGGGACCATGAGAATGCTCAGGTAAGAACTAGATCATGACAAGGTTAAGGAGGAACAGATACAAGTGACAGAATACCAGAATTGGTGGGGGGGGGAGGGTACAATTATGCCACCAACATACTATTTTCCAGATGTGTTTTCTTCAGATAACAAGAGGGGGAAAAAAACAGCACCATTTGAATGAATTACCTGGCCATATTGGGCACAAGCTTGAAAATTATTATGTCATTCATTAAAAATACAGAAAGTTAAAAAAAAAACCAAACTTGTTGATTCTAAGAAGAAAGTCCCTTTATCATATACCTCCTAGCATGCTGGTCCAATTTGGAAAGATAATTTTTTTTTACATTCTTTCCTCCTCACTTTCCCCACTCCCAACTAGTATAACCAAATTAGGTTCTGGAAAAATTTATGCCAGTACGACAACATAGATACCATGGTGTATAACGCTGGTATTTTGGGGTGGAGGGGGCTAGTGAAGACGGTTGATGCTCTAAGAGCTTCATTCAATGGTGAGGTTGACCTTGCTGATTTGAAACATGAACAGAGATCACTCAATTCAACGGTATTTGTTGAATGTTATGGAATTTGTGTTAAAAAGCTCCCAAAGAGATACAGTTAAACCAATAGCAGCAAACCTGCCCCTGGTGAAACCCAGGAGGACCATTCCGTTCCTTTGTTCCCATGTTTGGCTCCCATTTCCTTCAAACAGGAAGCCACGAGCAGACCGTTCAAGTAAGTAAATTAAAACGAAAGAAAAGAAAAAACCCAGTACATAGCACATGAAGTAGATGACAGTGGGCGAGTGTCAATTTTCACCTTGGAAAGACTCTGGCCGAGAGACACGGGTATAGCTCTTCTGCGTGATCATTATTCTCTCATGCTTTCTTTCCTGAAGTTTCCCCCCTCCCCCGACTACGGACACACGCACACAGAAGACCAATGGGAGCATTTATTCTGTTTTAATCCACGTCAACCTGTCGAGTACTCTCGAAACACGTCTTTCATCATCTCAGAGGGGAAACAGGCAAGAAAAAGAGAGGGTAGGGTGGAGGGAGGAAAGGGCCTCCAAAAACAAGGAAACTCTGAAGTTGACAGGAAATCAAATCGTTAGTTTAACCTTCAATTTTGGCATCAAATGCTTTGGTCACCACACAATACTGACTCTGTGATTCTGGGCGCTTAGCACCAAGTGCCCAGTTATAAAAGGTAGGCTTGTTGTAGTTTTTTTTTTCTTTTTCATTTAAGTTCTGACAAAACAGTTCACCATCTCCCAGCACAAACTTGAGAGAGAGAATAAGAGCGAGAAAAGAGAGAGCGGTGGCTTTCTTGTTTTTCTTTTTCTTTTTCTTTTTTTTTTAATAATAATAATAATATGGATTAATCTAGAAGTCTACAGGAACAGAGGGATTCTGGGTAGTGGCCTGCTCAGCCTTGATATGTACAAGTTTTACAACAGAGTTGCTGAAGGACCTTCCGCTGACAGAGGTTGTTCTTTTTGACTAGCATACAAAAGCTGCCCTCGGCCCACGATTCTTCCGTTGCTATTCCAGGAAGGGCCAGCAAGAAAGGGAGGGGAGTTGGAGACGTAGACAGCATGGTGCGCACCCATGGAAGAAGGTTTTGATTGGTCAGAGAGGTAGATTTGGGGAGGGAGGGGTCGGAAGAAACCATTCAGGAGCAGTCAACAAGAAGGAAATTTGGTCCACCCCAAGTGATTTCAATCAACAGCATTGTTTCAAGAAGAGATATTGCAGTCCGACAGGGTGTGTGATTGGTATCCATTTTATGAAAAGGAAAAACAAAAAACAAAAAACAAAAAACAACAGATTAGAGAAAGGATAAATCAGAAATCAGTGATAAATACAGCAAAGAATTTTCGTATTTTGGATTATCTAGAGTCAAAGAACATACAGTCATATGTACTTGAAAGAAAACAAACAAACAAACAAAAAAACCCATGAATTCCAAACAGCAAGTGAATTTGTTTTGGAAAATCTGAGGTGTCTCCAGTGTTGTCAGCTCTGAATGGTTCAACAATGCAAAATGGTACAGCTCCCTCTTTCACTTTGATCTACACAGTGCCACTTTGCCTAAGTAAGGAACTTCCCAGCCTATCAAGATTATCCCAGCCTAGCTCATATGCTTACCAGCAAGGGTGCATTCCATGGCAAGGATAACACAAGGAGTATGGCTTGGATTTTCAAAATCTATTAAAATTCCTGCCTGCCTGTAGCTCAGAATAACTTGAGTTTGGCCCAGACTGCTTGAGATGTGGGCCTCTTCCAATCTGCTTGACTGTCACAGCACTAAACTTTTCTAGAGAAGACAAAGTATCTTTCTCCATACTTTGTGGATGATGTAGAGACATCTTCCCCACCTTTTTAAAGGCGAAAGATGCGTGCTTAAATGCCTTTGGTACTATGTAACTGTTGGGGATATATTTGTACAGCCTTCAAGGCTCCTTTGCCACATGTCTCTCACCCAAGCATTGTGTAGGCAAACATCAGAATCAGTTCTAGAGATGGAAACTTCTGCCAAACGATTCCAAAATAGAACCTGAGGTGGTAGTTTTGGTTTCTTCCCAGGCTCTTTTCAATTTTATATCTCTCAGAGGAGGGGGACACTCATTTAAAGAGGAAAAAAAAAAGCCCTGCTTAACTCTTGGGAACAGGACAGACTCATAGACTGTGAGCTCCTTGAGAGCCAGTACTGTCTTCTGCCTTTCTTTGTATCTTCAGACTATCTGGCACACAGTAGGTGCTTACTAAATGCTTATTGAATGACATTGCATTTTTCATTGCCTCTTCATGAAAATTCCAGGCAGAGGTGAAAAGCAGTCAGAGGAAGGGAAAGAAAAAAGACACAATGTCTTCATTATGGTCAAGTGGAATTGTCTTTCAAAGTCATGATCCCACCCCCCATATCAAAGCTGTGTTTAACTGTTTCCAGGATGACATAAGTATATGATACAACACTGTAAGTATGAAAGTTCAAGGGCACTTATTTCTATACCATTCTTTGATGAAGCATTACAAAACACTGTCAGTATAACCATAAGGACACAAAACTAAGATCCCAACTTGGGCAGAACTTGTCTGTGTAAGAGATGGGAAGTTAATTATAGAATCATAAAATGTCAGAGCTAGAAAGAACTTAGAGTCTTGATACTTTGTACAGAGGAGAAAATCGAGGCCAGAGAGGTGATTATTATTTGTTCAAGGTCACAAGCCACATCAATAATTTGTGTTCAGAGAATATCATGACTAAATGAATCAGATTTCAACCTCTCTGTTATTTCCATTGCTTTATCCTCTGTTCTGGGTGACTGTCTGTTAGTCTGTTTGCTTGGCAATTGGAGAATTTTGCAACATGTTCTATAGGCATAAAATATTGCAGAATGTAAGCTATTGAATAGAACAGATAAACGTCCTAAAACTAAACACCAGAGAATGCTTTTTTTTTGACATGTGAAGATGTACAAATATAAATTGGGGAATTCTTGAACCAGTGTTTTAATAACAAAAGGACCTGTTTTTTCCATTTTCTTGGTTATGCATGTTTCAGCTACCATCAGTTTTCCATCCTTATGGAGGAAATAGATTTATTTTCTGTTTATAGGTAAGAGTTTTCATTCATTTTATCATTCTATAGTTTAAATTACTATTTGATGATGAATGACAGGTAAGAATACCAGTGGAAAGCTTTTACTAATTGCTGACAGCACTCTTTCAAACTATCAAAAAACACAATCTTATCAGCCTGCCCTGCCTATCACCCCTTTAACATAATTTAAACTTCATGAGGTTCCCCATTATAGTGATCATAACTGATCACACAGAAGATCAAATTAGAACTCCAGTACTCACCATCCTTACAGATTGCTCCAAGGACGCAGGCCCCTGTATCTAAGAGATAATTACTAGGGCAACTGGTACAGTTTCTGTCTCCGGGACCACTGCAGGCCAGACAGCTGGCAGCACATCTAAGAAACAACATAATGACTTATTATTATTTTATCTCATATGACTCTTAGGAGAAGGCAAGCATAATGATATCTCCCCCAAATTCCCCACTTGGAGATGACACAAAATCTTTTCTTAGAATAATTGTTCAGTTCAACAATATTACAGGAAACATAGCAAGTAGAAATTTCCTTAAGAGTTTTCAAGATCTTGCATATTTGAAACAGAGAAACAGGACTTCAAAGGCTTCAGAGGATCATAATTCAAAGCCTACTTTTATTCAACAAGTATTTTTTATTCAACAAGCATTCATTAAGTGCCTGCTGTATTCTAGGTGCTAGGGATAAAAAGGCAAAAATGAAACCATTCCTGTCCTCCAGAAGCTTCCATTCTATTGGGGAGAAACAATATATACTCAGGTAAGTAAATACAAAAAACTATGCCAAATGATGTACAAAGTAATCTAGGGGCCCAGGGAGAGGGTAGTAGTGGCTGATAGGATCAGGATGGGCCTGGTATATGAGGAAGCACTTGGGGTGATCCTTGAAGGCAACTAGCAATTCTATAACGTAGAAGGGGGGAGGAAATCTATTCCAGGCATGGGGAAAAAGCCTAGGCAAATAAACACAGACCTTATTAAATGTAGTTTTTCCTAATCTCCCAGCTCCTAGAGACCTCCCTCCCCTAAATACATGTTTTTATTATGTTGCCTCTATGATCTGTGTATTTATTTATGTTCCTCTTGTCTTCTTCCCTGTTAGAATATAAGTTCTCTGAGGGCAGGTACTGTTTCATTTTTGTCTTACTAGCCTCCCGAGCCTAGCACTGTGCCTGCCACCTCATCACTATCACAAACATTTATTTAATAGTTTAAGGTTTGTTTTTTTTTGCACTCCTTCTCTTGGAAAAAAAAATCATTGATCACTCTCCATTATTGGTTCACCTGTCTAGCCTCACATCAGCTTCATGGTCCCCATAGAATAATGATAACCTACCTGAACTCAATGTTTAGCATATTCTCACCTGGTCATAATCTCCCCATCCCAGTGATTCTGACACCTTGGCTAAAATTGTTCAAATGTCAATGTCAACTGGCTTTTAACTCAAACTCTCCCCTTTCTCACTCCTACCTTATTTCATTTATACTGAGACCTGGCTAAATCCTGATCACAGCACAAACCTGGCCACCCTCTCCAGAACTGGTTACACTTTAATTCATAAACCCCACCTCACCCCAGCCCACCCCCAACTCTTTTGGTCATGTAGGGAGAATTGGAATATTCCTTGCTTCCCATTGTCCCTACTAGGCTCTCCCTCTGCCAACATCAGTGCTTTAAGTTTTAAAAAGCTCTTTACTTATATTTTATTTGCTCTTTACAACAACCGTGTGAAGTAGGTGGTATTATTAAATAGTAAGTGCTTAATAAATGTATATTGATTGACTGATTAAGATAAAAGGTATAGTTCTCAACCAATGCTTCTATGTTAAATATTTCTGACTGGTTTCATCATTCTAAAGTCCCAGTTTACTATAATACCATTTGAAAGGGAAAAATGTCCTTACCTTTTGCAGGATTTGTAGCCACTCTCTAAAGAGTGGTCAAAATAATAACTATTACTGCAGGTCTGCACACACTTCCCATCTTCCATGAAGTAGCCCTCACTGCAGGTAATGCATGTATCAGCTCCTGCCCCTTAAAATTAAGAGAAATAGGGAAGTCATCATTAGGACAGCTTCATCAAAAGTTCCAGAACAGAAACTTCCTACAAATGGTTAGTAAAGATAACCTAAGACAATCCAAGATCTGCCACAGCACTTTGGAGAAATGTATGCTTTGCTAAATAACCTAGGCAGAGATATTGACAATTCTCAGTGACACTTTGGAGATCATCAATATTACTATTGTTTTTTTTTTAAACTGGACATTTCCTACTTAGGACAAGAACCACAACCAATATTCATCTCTCAACAAAAAAACACATGTGTTGGAAAAGTGAAGAAGACCTCCATAAAACTGTTAATTCCCTACAGAAATTCAGGGAGGTTGTGGCTATAGGACTCTCAATGAGAAAGTCAAAATTGAAGAATCTGTGAATCTGAGGCACTTGTCTTTGATTAGTCTTTTCTTTCTTTCTTTTGGAGGCAGTTGGGATTAAGTGACTTGCCCAGGGTCATACAGCTAGTATATTTGAACTCAGATCTTCCTGACTCCAGGGCGGTACTCTATCCACTTCACGATTTAGCTCCTTAAGGCACTTATCTTTGAGTGATAATTGGAAGAAAAATGTTACTCACAGAGATCACACATGGATCATAGATTTGGAATTTGAAAGGATGTTAAATATCCTTAACCTCCTCATTTTACCCATAAGGAAACTGAGGTCTAGGGAGGCTAAGGAGGAAATAAGTGGTGGAGCCAGCATTTGAACCCATTGACTCTCAAATCCAGTGCTCTTCTCTCTGTACCTTGAAGCCCACCTTCAGGCACCTCTAGCATTGATTGCTTAGTTTTTCAAGGTGATTTCCTACATTGTACCTAGAACAGTGTTGTATAAAACCAAAGATGTGCCAGAGCCAGAATGACCAAATCCACTCTCTTGGGAGTCACCTACCGGAACAGGTGGCACAGAAACGGTGGCATGGCTCACAGTCCTTTCCACTGTAGTATTTCCCATCTTCACAGGTGACAGTACATCGGGATCCATGTAGGCTGGTACAGAAATTAGAGGTGCCATTGTAAGACCACCAGGAGTAAGGCAAAGATATGGCAAAGGGAAGACTTTGTTTATAAGAAAGGAAGTTCATCTAACGGAGATGAAATAGGTCCACTGATGGTTTGTTGGAGGAAAATCTCACTAGTATCCTTCTCTGCTTCTAACATCTTGTATCTTGACTTATAATGACATGCAAGTGCACAGATGTGGCAAGTGAGCTTATCTTAAGTAAGCTTATTTAGAAACACATTTCATTAGAAGTGAGTAGAAATTAGTTAACATCTTTCAACCCAGAGTTTTCATAAGATATTTCACAAATATGAAAATCACTTCACCCAAGAGTTGGTAAGAGAGGCAATATTTTACACCTGGACTCACCGTGTAATAACTTCTAGGTAAAAGACAAGGACTGGGATCAGGGGTGGGGAACCTATAACCTCAAGCCCACATGTGACCTTTTAGGTCCTCAAGTACAGGCCTTTGACTGAATCTAAACTTCACAGAACAAATCCCTTTAATAAAAGGATTTGTTCTGTAAAACTTGGACTCAGTCAAAAGGCCACATCGAAGGACCTAGAGGCCACATGTGTCCCTGAGTTCACAGGTTCTCCATCCCTGAATTAGGTAAAAGAGAAAATTTCCAGGAGATAGAAAGGTTGAATATACAATATTTGAAATTGCAGTTTATTCATAGATTGGTGCCTCTAAGTGCAGGGTTGAAGGAGATCGTTCTAAATAGCAATTCTACTGAAAAAGATCTTGGGGTTTTAGAGGACTGTAAGCAAATGTGGTTTTAGATTGCAATAACAGAGCAATAGTATCAAGGTCCCTAGAAGTAACAGTCCCATTGGTCTGTGCTCTGGTCAAACAATATCCACCATAGTATGTTCATTAATAATCACATTTTAGAAAGGATTTTGATAAGCTGGAGAGAAAGGGGCAGCCAAGATGGTGAATGGCCTTGGGATCATATCATGAGAGGATCATTTGAATAAAAGGGGATAATTAGTTTGGAGAAAAGATGTGTTGAGTGGGACCCTAGTAGCTATCTCGAGAGATATTAAACTTGTTCTTCTCAGGCCCAGAGAATGGAGCTAGTAGTAATTGGTTAAGATTGTAGAACCAGCGTTTGGCTTGATAGAGGGAAAACTTTCCTAACAATTAGAGGTGGAATGGGAGGTAACGATCCCCAACCTACCCTAACCCCTTCTCAATTAGAAGTATATTATAGAGAGGAGGATTCTTACCCAAGTTTAGGTTATACTAGATTGCCTCTAAGTCCTATATCAACTCTGAGCATTTTAGGATTCAGACTAATCAAAGCAGAAGGCATAGAAGTAGCTGCTGGGGAGGAGGTGTGGTATCTTGGACTTGAAGTCAGAATAGCTGAATACCGTTTCCAACACTTGCTTTGTGATTGGAGCCACTGAGAAAATCCTCATCTCTTAAATAGGTCTTGAGATTTTTAAAGACCTATCAGCTACTATGATCTTAGGGTTTCATGAAGAGGAACACGGGGGCCAGGCCTCAGGAAGTGATAGTCCCACTGTAATCTATCCTGGTCAGGAGATGTCTGGAGTGCTGTAGGCTATACCTGCACTATACATCCTCAGAGGGTAGGTAAAGAAAGTGCTTTAGAAACCATTAAGCACTAATGAAACAAGAACTATTACTGGCTCATACTTTGTTGTTGTTGTTCAGTCATTCTTCAGTTGTATCTGACTCTTCATGATCCCGTTTCTTAGCAGAGATACTGGAGTAATTTGGCATTTCCTTCTCCAGCTCATTTTACAAATGAGGAAACTAAGGCAAACAGGGTTAAGTGACTTGCCCAGGGTCACACAGCTGGTATGTACCAGATTTGAACTCAGAAAGATTAGTATTTCTGACTCCAAGCCTGGCACTCTATCCACTATACCACCTAGCTACCCTACTGGCTCACACTAGCTATTATTAATTTATTTCAGAGCTGGCAAGAACCTCTTTGCCTTAAATCATATAGATGGTCAGCAGGAGAGCTAGTAGATTGTAGAAGGTAGAGTGGCACAGTGGAAAGACTGCAGAATTTGGAGTCAGAGGGTGTGAGGACTCAAATCCTCACAATAATTTACTACCTTTGTGACTCTGTTTCATCATCTGTAAATGAGGGAGCTGGGTGGATAATCTCTAAAGGGGCCCTTCCAGCTAAA